TGGAATGGCTGTGACGACTTCCTCCCAGGCGTGCTTCCAGGCATCGAGATCCACGTCAGCCGGAATGCACGCCAGTCTCTGTGCAACGTACGCCTTGACTGACTTGAGCGAGAAGGTAAACAGGGACTCCTGCGTTGGCGTGCAAGGATAAATGTCCTCGATGGCAGCTTTGTCGAACCCGTATACACGAGCAGCCTCCTCACAGGCACTTTCGGCAGCTTGGGAGATCAATGAGAATGGCGGAATATCGGTCTGGGTCTCGACATCGCAGATGAGGACCTTAGTGGCCATAGCAGACAGAGTAGGATGGCCAAACGTGTTGGCGACTGACAGATCCAGGCCTTGTGCCCGACAGACTGACGCTAGTCTCATCGCAGCCAAAGAGTCACCACCCAGGGCAAAAAAGTTGTCGTCTGGCCGGATGGTTTCGGCGTCAAGCTTCAAGGTCTGACTCCAGGCCTGTCGTAGACGCTGCTCTAGCTCAGTGAGCTCCCGATGGGCGGTGCTTGCCGCACCCTGGTCTAGCTCGCGCAGGTCCACAGTGGTGCCAAACTGACGCAGTCGTCGACGATCCGTCTTGCCGGAGATCAAGACCGGAATATGGCTGACGGGAATGTATGCTGTAGGGACCATGTATCGAGGCAAGACCTTCTTTACCTCCGCATCAGCCTTGGTCAGTGTCTTGCTCAACTCCTCCGGAAGGTCTACCGAGGTGACTTCCGTGCTGTCGATGCCCTTACTGGCCTGAGAGGAAACAAAGGCTACCAGGGTCGCTTGGCCTCCGGATCCCTGAGGCACAATCACCTCCGCAATGACTGTGGCTTCCGACGGCAGTCTGGCCTTGAGCTGACTCTCGATCTCTCCCAGTTCGACACGCTGTCCGCGCAGCTTGACCTGAGTATCCTTTCGTCCGGCAAAAACGATACCTCCCGATCCATCAGGATCATACATTCCGAGATCTCCAGTCTTGTACATTCTTCCGTGACGACCAGCGTAGCCCTGATGGCCCGCCACCAGCCACTTCGGGTCCTCAATAAACGCCGCCGCCGTCTTCTCGGGATCATTCAGATAGCCCTGGCCGACAATTGGGCCCTCCACCAGTAATTCACCCACCGCACCGACCGGCATCAGCTCATCATGGTCATTAGGGTTCACAATCCAGATAGCCGCACCATTGCCAGTTCCGATGGAGATATAGTCTCTTCCGGTGGCTGCGCTGCTATTCACCGTGCATCCAATCGTGCACTCGCACGGCCCATATCCAATAATGATCCTCGTCTCCTGACCCCAGACTGTTACATCGCGGGCCGACGCAGCCTCACCTCCCAAACCCAGCCCGCTGAGCGACGCAATGACATCCGGCTCCAAGATGCGGGCCACGGACGGGGTAATACCCGCATAGTTGACGCGCATATTGCGAATAACGCCGTTGATGTCGTTTAGTCGGTCCTCATCTGACGGAATGCAGAGACAGCCATTATTACCCAGCGTCAAAAGCATGCTGTCGATACTGACATCGAACGCATACGACGCGAAATCAAGGACCCTCGACTTCTCATCATACCCGACAGCCTTGGCGCGCGGGAACGCACTGCTTGTGTAGCTACCATGGGAGACCTTGACACCCTTGGGAGTCCCCGTGCTTCCCGAAGTGAAAATCAAGTACATGATGGTGGTTGAGGGAACCTTGGGCAACGTTGGGGTGCTTTCCAGCGGCGGAACATTGGGGAACGCACTCTCCTCCACAACAAACAACCCTCCATCCTCAATGATCTCTCTCGACAGGTCTTGCTGCATGGACGAGCAAATCATCGTTCGTGCATTCACTTGCTTCGCCATGTTCTGTAGCCGAGCCAGTGGGAGAGTGGGGTCCATCATCGCAAATGTGCACCCGGCCTTCATGACAGCCAACACGGCAACAATGGTCCACCGCGACTTTTCGAAACACACGGGGATGAAATCTTCCGGTTGCGCGCCCATTTCTTGGATCTTCATCGCAACATACGTCGAGTACCGCTCGATCACGCCGTAGGTGAGACTGCCGTCCCAGGAGTCAATCGCGACCTTGTCGGGCGTTTTGCGTGCTTGTTCTGAGATCACTTCGTGCATGCCAAAGTCGTATGCTGGGGGGAGTTCGTAGTTCCATGACCAGATATCAGAGATGTCACTGGCTGTCGGGCGGAGGCAGTCTTCAATAGTGGCATCGGGGTTCAAGAGGACCAGTTGCACAGTGTCGATGAGGCTGTTGATGTGGCGAGTAAGGGTATAGGGGAGAATAGCTTCGGAGTGCCAAATGGGCTGAATTTCGAGATTGTTGGCATTGTAGCGCGCTTCGAGGTGGATGATGCCCTGTGCATTTGTCTCATTAGCCTGGCTCTCGTATAGTTGGTATGGCGGTAGGAATTGCGGTCGCGACTTACCTCGTTTGGCTCCTCAGTGGTCTGAGACAGGGCGCTGGTGCTGAGGAGCAGCGCAAGCGACCTCGATGGCGCTGGCTCGGGCGTAATAGAGTGCTTGCGAGCAATTGCGGCGGCAGTCTGCCCCACACTGCTTCGCAAGTCGGCCATTACCTCTGTCGACTGACAGCAGTTGACTGGACTAATCTCGTGGCCCTTGTAGGCCCATTCAAACGATGCCTGACCATCCTCTCTCGTGCGCAAGAGCACAATGAGCCACGAAACTAGGAGAAGTTCTTCCTTCATGCCTGAGGGGGTAGTATCGATACCCAGGCCGGCGGCCTCTAGTGACCGTACATTTGCCATATCGTGTAAATCTTCTTGTCCCTGGGGACTTGTAGTGTGTGTGTTGCCCATTCGGCAGTTCAGTAAAATCCAGTCCAGCTGCGTGGGAGGAGAATGAGAGACGAGAAGAGAGGGGAAAAGAGGGGCAAGTAGCTAGGACCACCGAATGTCTTCAGCTCAGTTCAATTACTTCACCCCGAGTCAAATTCAATAAGTGCCCAACGCACCGGAGGTGGACACCAAGTATATTATTATCTGATCCGAGGTCCCAGAAACACACAAAGATCAGATTACTGACCCTCTTCCGAACATCCCGTGAAGTTTCAGAAGACTCCATTCCTAAAGTTATCATTATTATTATGATACTACCGAGATCGGCGGTGGAATCCACCACGGCTGCGGGTATCCTGCAGTTTGCAGCATTGCAACACGAGATCCAACGGGCACCAACGGACAGCAGGCCAGCTTGTGAAAGTTACCGGGCAAAAGAATTTGCACAGACCACGTAGGCCAAGCGTCTAGCCGAGAATTAGTGAGACACGGTATGACATGATTTAGCCCGCGGCGTGAAATGTGGTACTGGGAAAAAGTTATCTGATCTAAGTTGCTTGGTATGTTCCGGTCTTTTGCGAGAGCTGGAACTTAGGTAAGGGTTATAAAACGTAATTTTTGGGATGAATTAGGATGAGTCATAGAATGGGTTCATTTTTATTGTTTTCTTCACCAGCCTAAGTACTGTGTAGATAGGCCTGCCGGAAATGAGCGACCCGATGGACCAGCTATCAGGATATTGTCTTTGAGTAGGGGCGATGGATAACAGGATGTTTGTGGTGTGTGTAAAAAATGCTTTTGCGCTAGTAAGTAAAAGGGGCCCTAGTAATAACGCTAGTATGTGACAAGTGGGGCTGGTGATTGATAAGACTAATCAGATCAGATAGCTGCAGGTCCACAGACAACCAGGAAGTTAGCTGGTCAAGGTATCCGAAACAAGTTAGTTTGTTATATATGGTGAGGAGATAGAAGTGTCGTGATTAATCCCTCATACGAACTAATTCTCCGAGCCATGGGAGATGCAGATGCGTTCATTCAATGGAATACCCTGATCAGGGTACAGCGTAGCTTGGTGCAGGGGGTGGCAAGTGAGTTCTGCAGGCCATATTTCTTTTTTCAATTTGTGTTACCTTTAACCATTTTCCAAAGCTATACTGGGTATCAACATATGAATTTATTTTCTGGACCGAGTCGTATGATAATCGCTTTGCCTAGCCCGAATGAGCGCTATCGCCGAGTATCTAATCTAATCTGATAATCCGTTGATGTACGGAGTATGGAGTTTGGAGTAGGATAATCTACCGAGACCTCAAAGTAAGAGGTTTCGGCTCTGACGAACCTCGAGTCCACAGTCAGAGTCCACTCGTCTCGCACGTGGCATCTACTCGGAGACATATACTGACTTGGGTTGGTCTCGCGTGTAAGAGAGTTTCAGCTTATGTAGGATAACCAGGCAGCTATAGCTTGCAGATGGTGTCCAGAGTCACCAATGTCTGTGAACTGGCTTATGCCATGTTATTATAAGCCATCAAACGATAAAGAACATTCTTGAGGATACACTTTAATCGATAGAGAGGCCACTGTAAAGCTCAGGAATATAGCTGCTGTAGTTACGGGTTTCCGTTTATCTCACTTCCAGTATGCAGTTTGGCATCGCGACAGGGCATCACCGCATCTACGCTAACTTGCATATACCGACGGCAACAACCGCCGGAGACATCTCGCTTTCTCTCTGTTTATTTTCCTTTATCCGCCGGTGGATCAAGAATACGACAACCGCATTAGGGTCTGCTTAGGTACCCACATACCGTCCATTACCGCCTTTGAAATACTATGTATTCAGAAACACCCTTTCAATGTCCGACGGTTCACCCGCTTACCATACATCCATGACAAACCTGTCTCACTCATTATCTGATGAACCCCACCAGCGTCCTCAACATCCCAAAACTCGTGAAACAACCGAGGATTCCATTCCCGGGAATACTTGGTTCCGGTGGTATCCACACCGTCAATTGCCGTGAAGATAAGCGATTACAAAGTACATAAGCCAAGCCTGGCTGCAGTGATTGTTTCTGGAATTTGGGCTCAACCATTTACGCTCACCTCCTACTCTACACAACATTATCTTACTTGAATTATAAGACTCTTCATCTTATACACTATCATTAGACTCAGACTCATATAATCACTCGGAAACAAGCAAACATGTACTCCAAATTCTGGCCCAAGGGCGGCCTCCCGGGAATTCTGCACCACTTCGTATGTCCAATTCTGACCTGTCCGACTCCCAGCCGACCAGACTAACACAATATTTCCCAAATTTTAGACAGAAACCCTCGTAACCTTCGAATACACAACCACTACCCCCTCTCTCTCCCAACCTCACACCCTGCTCTTCGTCGGCGGCCTCGGCGATGGCCTCGCCACAACATCCTACATGGCAGACCTAGCCCGTGCCCTCCACTCCACCCCCTGGTCCCTCTTCACCCTGAACCTTACCTCCTCCTACCAGTCCTGGGGCCTGGGACATCTGGACCGCGATACCGACGAAATTGCCCAATGCATCCGCTACATCAAAGACTACAAAGCGGATAAATACGGTTCTGCCTCTGCAGCTGGCAGCAAGATCGTCTTGATGGGACACTCCACTGGCAGCCAATGTGTCATGCATTACCTAACGCGGCCAAACCCGCATACCACAAAACCGCCCTTTGATAAATACTTAGAGCATGTGGAGCGGTTGCCGCTGGATGGTGCTATAATGCAAGCACCTGTGTCGGATCGCGAGGCGATATTGTGGGTCTTAGAGAATGGATTTGGAGGCAGATCTTCTGCGGAGTGTAAAGCTGTTTATGAAAAGCTAGTGGGCATGGCAAGAGAGGCAGAGGAGAAGAGAATCAGGGAGGGTGGCGAATTCGATGTGATTCTGCCGATTGAGTTGACTAGTTTTGCTTATCCGGCTAATACACCGTTGTCGGCGAGGCGGTTGTTGAGTTTAGTGAGTCCAGATGCTCCGGGTAACCCTGGGGAGGACGATATGTTCAGTTCGGACTTGGGGCCGGAGCAGTTGGAGAAGACCTTCGGAAAGGTGAAGAGCGGAGGCTTGTTGGCAGGAAAGGCGAAGTTGATGGTGCTATACTCGGGTAAGGATCAGAGTGTCCCTGACTGGGTGGATAAGGAGGCACTGTTGAGGAAATGGCGGGGGATTGCAAACGCTGGATGTGCAAAGGGCGAAGAGGTCTGGGATGATGAACATACTGCAGTCATTCCGGGCGCGTCGCATGCCCTCAGTAATGATGATCAGGCGGAGCCAAGACGGTTCCTTGTGGACAAGGTCATGGGGTATCTGAAAACTGTGGTTAACGTGTAATACACCTTTTTCTTTCTTCGTGTACGATGATAAGTGTTGGATTTTCTGACCTTCTGAAGTGGTACGCCTGATGAGCCTTGTGCTTTGTCGGAGAAACAGCAGATCCACGAGACATGGAATGCTGCCAGTCAGCTTGAGACTGGGTCTAGGTATTCTACGCAAGACTCGACGGGCCTGCGGGCACAACGGGACTGGGTGAAATATGGCCTGGTAGCAACAGTCTTGGTGCTTGCCTCACCTTATGTCTATCCACACTGCGGGGGCAATTAGTGTGATGATGGTTTGAGTAGGTTATGGACAGGACCCCTCCTTTACGGTGAACGACTATGTTTATGCATGTATGATGTTGGATAGCAATGCAGATATCAAGATACAATTCAAGTGCTCGCGCAGACACTGCGAGATGTTCATTCTCTATGTTGAAGCCAATACTTTCAATGCACTTGTCGACTCATCCAGAACTGTAAAGCGCACACGAGCACCCGCACAACTCACAGGTGCCTCTTCAGTCAGTCTAAAGTCCGGCTACTATTTTAGTCCATACATTATCTGAAATCTCTCCAGCAGTGTTATTATGGTATCGCAGGTATTGGCCAGCTTGCAGTTGGCCTCAATATTCTCCTACAGGGTGGTGTGGTCGATGGCGATGCGGTCGGATACGGCGGAAAAGTGAACGGTACGAGTGGAGACCCAGAGCAAGTGGATAATGTACAGTATGGTATTGAAAGATTGCTATCTAGGGTTAGATAGTGCGGTGGTGGGGGCCTCGCTTCCACTGGAGGACTAGTCTCCGTAACATGTCCGGCCGGTATTCTCATTTCTCGTTGAAGCAGACCCAGGAGTTTACAGCTTGGCATTCCACGCAGCACGGTCGGCCGATTCCAACGGTCGCTCACGCCCATCCCAGAAGATCGGGCACAACTGGAACCACTTCTCTCGGCTGCAGATGGAATGAACTGACCGTTTGTGGCCCAGGTCGACGTACTTGCCGATCGTCAGACCCTGCGCATTCTCATACGACAGAATCGTTGCCCCTGTTGCGCGTGGCTCACCAACCACATTTACGGTCCGTGGCTCATCCAGGAAGCAGTAATGGATGCAACTCGAATACCACGCGTTGACCCGCTTCGCGCCACGGAAGGATGCATCACCCACCAACGAATGCCTTCCGCGATCGTAATCATGGGCGTCATAATGCGCACCGTAATGGTCCTCCTATTCCAGTGTTAGCAGCTGTCAAAGACACGAGTAATCCACACAATGCATGGTGGCTACTCCGAGTGTAGAACGTAAGACGTCCTCGACTAAAGATGGCACATTATGCCACACATACAATCAGGGGACAAGATCATACCTTAGACCAATAGAGCTCGTAGTACGAGAACCTTGTCTCATTAAAGCGCCCGAACAAGCACAGTACATGGGGATCAAAATGCAACTTCCGAAGATACTCGCGGTGTTCATCCAGTGTACCTGTCTCATTCCATCCCTTTGCCACACGGGGATCATTCTGCCAGGTATTGAAGAGCTGTAAATGGGCTGGATCTTGCCAATTTACAACTTCCAGAGAGAAGTGTTCATCCAATTCAGGAATATAGCGACTGTAGGCAATTGAGCCAGGAGCTGGCTTGGGTCGTCGGATCGGGTGTCTGGCATAGATAGGCTCCTCGGGAAACTTCTGCGTGAAGTGATAGTTTTCCGGCATGGGGGGGTATTGCGATAAAGGCTCTCGCAGAGAGCCATCGGTGCCCTCACCCACCACCCAGATGGGACGCGGGCCCATTGGCGACGCTGCGCCTTGCCAGAAAGAACTGCGGAGGATCAAAAGGTCGGTAGAAGGTTGGACTGCACGATCATCAGGCCGTGTGGCCTTAGGATGCTCGATTCCAAGTCCGGTCGCGAGGAGCTCAGTACGAAGGACATCCTGGCCTGCGCCGGACAGAGCCAGACTGAAGTATTCATGGGTAGGGTGGGCAAGGTATATAGCATGGACAACGTTCCAGATCTGCCCCAATGTCGGTGTGGTGTCAGTCCATTGGAATGTAGTTCTAGGTGCACGACGGGCTCGTGCCCAGGCTGTGTTGTTGGAGGGTGGGGGACAATTAGTCGAGGAAGGGGGTGCTAATTCAAGCCACGAAAGAGAGTCGAGGTGTAGAGGTTGAGGGGGGGATCGGCCGGCTGGGGGCTGATCATGCAAAGTCAAGCTGAGTTTGGCTGGTGACGTTTCGGCTTCGGCAACGGTGCGCACGCGGTATGCGGTCAGAAAGGGATGAGGAAGCTTCACCAGTGGATACTGGGAGCTGGCAGTGGTATCGGGACTCATCCTCGCTCGCTGTGAAGTGTCTAATGAGCACGATGTAGGGAGGCAAGGGGCGATTTTAGGAAGAAGAGGAAATGTAAGAGGAACGCTGCGACCGAGGCAAACGGTTATATAGAAAGCCGGGGCCAATTCGACAGAACAACCGAGGAAGACAGATAACAAGCTTGGTAGGTGTCTCAGGTGGGTGTCCGCCAATGACCCGTCCTTGGTTGCTCTCGACCCCTCTGGCACGGTCTCGGGCCCACCGATATCGCATATTATGTATGCCGCCTTCTGGACCCCAGCATGGCCCTGTACAAAAGTATAAAAGTAGCGCGAGCTGGTCCGGCTGTCCCGCGATCAGATAAGCCTATCAAACAATTCACACTCTCGACCATGTCACTCCGATCGCATTCCATACAACATCCAAATTTTCATGTCTCGTTTCCCCACGAGCGTGTGGTCCAGGTGACCTTAAATCGCCCACAAAAGCTCAATTCTCTCGATTTGGCTACGAGTCGAGAGATCCAAAATGTCTGGGAGCTGTTCGACCAGGATGAGAGCTTGTGGGTGGGTATTATTACTGGTACCGGGAGAGCCTTTTGCACTGGGGCGGATCTGCAAGGTATATTCGATTTCTATGCTCTCAAAGACCTCTGTGCTATGGCATATTTGCTTACTTCTCGAGTTGCATAGAGTGGAATGCAATGAACGAAGCTGGAGTTGTCAATGACATGTCCCCGCCCGGACTAGCAGGCCTGCCCCGACGGAGCGGCAAGAAACCCATCATCGCAGCGGTCAACGGTATCTGCATGGGGGGCGGGTTTGAAATGGTAGCAAACTGTGACATCGTAATCGCCTCGGTGTCTGCCATTTTTGCGCTGCCAGAAGTCAAGCGAGGGATTGTGCCTGTGGCCGGCTGCCTACCACGCCTGACCCGGACATTGGGGTTGCAGCGCACGATGGACCTTGCCTTGACTGGCCGCAGTGTGGACGCAAAGACACTTTACGATTGGGGGCTGGTGACTCGGTTGGTGGATATTGGTGACGATGTTGCACAGGCAGCTCTACAGGTCGCTCGCGTCATGTGCAATAACAGTCCGGATGCGCTCATTGTTGGCCGCGAGGGTATCCGGTTGAGCTGGGAGGCTGGTAGCGTGGAGGATGCGGTGTCGACACTGGCGGAACACTCGTACCCGCGCCTGGTGGAGGGAGCTAATTTTGCCGAAGGTATTCGGGCGTTTGTAGAGAAACGGTCGCCACAATGGATCAACTCCAAGTTGTGAGACGGAAGAGGGGGGCTTCATGTACGGTCTACGGATTACTCCGCAATCAGATAGCCAGCCGGCGTGTGTGCCTGTTCGGCAAGGGGCGTCCGGATCATCTGGCGTTGTAGCTCGTTCATTATTCGGCGGAACAACCCGATGGAGCCACACTCACGTTGAAGAATTTTCCAGCCGTGTCCTGGTCTCAGTTGCTCGTGAGAAAATTCCTTCGACCTCTTGGGTACCCCATCTATTTGGAAAGACAAGAACCATGGAAGAACAGTCTAATGTACCCCATTGCCTAAGTTAGTACCCACTGGACTTCTGAGAAAGTGAAACCCCTCAACGACGCGTGTTGATGGCATTCGCATCTTATCATGGATCAGATTAGATTTAGTCACGGACTAGCCGCATTTCGTCCACGGTCTCCAGGCGCGTTTTTTCCCGGTGGCCGCCAGGGGAAATTGGATTGTGTGATGAGAGTGGGCCCGTTACCTAACATTTCCCGGTGACGGCTGTGACCATACGCAAAGCAGTATCGTACGGTTCATACAAGTAATCTTTTTAATATACATACCGCGAGTGGACACCAATTTGGGATGTTGACCCGATCCAGCATCATCAGACGACTCAGCTCGACCCGGATGTGGGTGCCTCCCTCCTCGACTTTAGAGGACTTGAAGCTATCAATCAGGTAAGAAGACGCAGAGATTACTGGTGCCTTGAGTGGATCGCAGAAAAACCTGCCAGTCATCCAGTGCCCGCTGCTCATCTCCGGGTGGAGATCACGGATTTTTATTGTGCCTCATCGTGGCTTTCGGACAAGCACACGCTGCGAGTCAGCTAGTTGAAATGTGCGCCATAGCCAAACTAAGTGCTGGCGCTAACAATCTCTGCACCTGTGCTAGGATAGTTACGTAGACCTTGTAGGGCATCCTCACCAGCCTACGACCCCCGATTGGTTCGATCAGATAGGGGAATGAGCAGGTCAGCGCCATCATCTGATTAGATTGGCTTGTCTCCAGGGATCCAGTGGTCTCCAGTTGCGCTCAAACCTCACCACTTTTCAATCCAAGAATTCAGATGCGGCCGCCGCAGCCGACTTCGGGGTTATCAATCAGTGCGTGGGCCTGTCAACACTAGTCCTCCGCCACTCGTTGCTAGCTGGGCTCGCCTGGGTATAAGGGCCAAGAAATCCCAGATTTCTTGTCCTTTTCTTGTCCTCCTTGGCTTTACCCGCTCGATCATCTCTTTTGCCTTCTCGATCAGTCGGTCTGTCACCATGGCCGTACTCGAAAAGTTTCGCGAGGCCTTTGGCCGTAACCCTTCTATTACCGAGGACTCCGGCAACAATGTTGCCATGAACACTGTCGAGGAAACTAAGCGGGATCCCATTGCTGATGAGGCAGTCCGTGGTCCTGAAGAGTCTGAGGAATCTGTTTCCGAGGATGCCTCTTCAACGCACCTCCAGACTGGTGTTCACGACGTCGAGGCCATCACCAAGTCCTGGACCAAATGGTCACTGATCGCCGTTTTTGCCAAGTATGTGGCCCCCTTTGGTATCTGTATTTCCATTTTATCCTCGCTAACTCTTTTTCTTCTTCTCTATCAGCATCTGGCTCCTATACTTTGTAAATGCTTTTCAGTCCTCTATTCTTTACAATCTGCTCCCCTATGTCACCAGTTCTTGGGAGTCCCACTCCCTCCTGAACGTCATCTATGTGGTTGCCGACTGCATGTCGGCCGCCGTGTATATCCCTCTGGCCAAAATCATGGACGTGACTGGCCGTGCTGAAGGTTTCCTGACCATGGCTGTCTTTGCTACACTGGGACTGATTTTGATGGCCACCTGCCACAACCTTCCCACCTTCTGTGCTGCCTATGTAAGTATTCTTTCACAACTAATCAAGTGAAAGTTCTGTTCGTGCTAATCACTCCATTCACTAGGTATTCTACACCATTGGCTTCGGAGGCATGACCTACTGCGTGGATGTCATCACTGCTGATGCCTCCAAGCTGAAGAACCGGGGTCTAGCCTACGCATTTACCTCCTCGCCTTACATCATTACGGCCTTTGCTGGTCCTAAGGCTTCGGATGACTTCCACCTTAGCTGGCGCTGGGGCTTTGGCATGTTCGCCATCATTTTTCCCGTCGTCGCTGCCCCTTTGTACTTCATCCTGAAGCATAACCTGAAGCGCGCGCAGCAGCAGGGGTTGGTCGTCCCCAACCGCGACACCCGCACCTGGTACCAGCTAGTCTGGTTTTACTTCATCGAGTTTGATAGTACGCACTTATGCCTCATACCTCCAGAATATCATCTTAATCTAACTTACCCTCCAGTTGTCGGTGTTCTCCTTTTCTCCATCGGTCTCTGTGTCTTCTTCCTTCCCTTCGATATCTCCTCTTACGCCCCCGACGGCTGGGCCTCGGGCTACATTATCGCAATGATCGTCGTCGGTGTCGTGATGCTAGTTATCTTCTGCCTGTATGAATGGTTCATCGCGCCCGTGCCGCTTTTCAAGTTCGGCTTCCTCTTCAACCGTACCGTTATCGGCGCCTGTCTCCTCGACGCCACCTACCAGCTCTCATACTACTGCTGGGACAACTACTTCACCTCTTTCCTGCAAGTTGTCAACGACTTGACCGTTGCCGAAGCAGGGTACGTCAGTGACACCTTCGATGTCGTCTCCGGTGTGCTGCTCCTTTTCGTCGGTTGGTTGATCAGCAAGACCGGCCGCTTCAAGTGGCTCCTCTACATCTCGGTGCCTTTGTACATCTTCGCTCAGGGTCTGATGATCTACTTCCGTCGCCCTAACCAATCCGTCGGCTACCTCGTCATGTGCCAGATCTTCATTTCCATCGGTGGTAGTATCTTCATCATTATCGAGCAGCTCGCTATTTTGGCCGCCGTCGACCACCAGCACGTCGCTGCTGCCCTGGCCCTCCTCAACGTTGTTGGTACAATCGGTGACGCTATCGGTGCCACCATCTCCGGCGCTATCTGGGATAACACCTTCGAGAAGGCGCTCATTCGCTATCTGCCTGAATCAGCCATGTCCAACCTCGAGAACATCTACGAGGACCTTGATACTCAGCTGAGTTACCCGACTGGTAGTGTTACCCGCATTGCCATCCAGCATGCCTATGGATATGCGCAGACGCGCATGTTGGCTGTTGGAACGGGACTCATGGCTCTCTCGTTCATCTGGATCGTTATGATCAAGAACATTAATGTTGCCAAGGTCAAGCAGGTCTCGGGTATGGTTTTCTAGACTATCGATCGCTGCGTGTACATACCATATACATACATATATCGGTTGAACAGAACTCTCATCCTGAATGCACCATACTACCTTGTCTTTGCTGATGAAGATAACGGTGTAGATGTGGGGCCGGTGCACATCACCGCCCATTTTTGTTGTTTATCTCGCTCATACCCATTTTCCCTTTCCATACCCCTGTGTGCCTGCTGGTGCATGGACATCTGCTTGATATATTCCCGCTACTTTGTATTGCATTAGTATAAAAGTTATACTCCACTAATTAATCATCTTTCATCATGATTTTCTCTTTGATGTAGATCTGTTTAGTTGACGGGATAGAAGGATTCAGTAAGAACAAGCAATCTTTAATCATGATTTCAACAACCACTCCAATTGATATGCATCCTACCACTTCACGTATTGGACAAGATATTGCTTTCGACTCTGGCCTCGACCCATTAAATTATCTTAGCTTGATTACCATATAGCCCGTCGAAACCATCGTCTACTCTACTATCACCATGGTGTTTCAACCGATATTAGTTCTGAGAATTCTGCAGGCAGTTTTGGTCTCACCGTACTGTTACATGCAGAATGTTCAGTCTACTGTGAAGAAAGGAAGAACGCAAAATCCGGTTCAAGACATAATGTGCAGCAAGCAATGCTATGGTTCGCAATCTGCTTGTAGCTACCCCTGGGGTGGACTTCTTCTGAAACATTGAACATATCTCGAATTTAGACATGACTTTCTTCTTGGATTCTCTGCTTCGTGGGAGTTTCTGTTCAGTGAGTTCCGTAGTGATTGGCTTGCTTGAATACACTTTTTCCTGCTTCTCTTCACTTTGACTTTGGTGCCATGTCTTCGGGGAACGAGAGGAAGAGTTGCATCTGTACGTATGGATTTCAAGTGTGGTGTCCTCGGTTATTATATTTGTGATGGCGGCAGGGCCTCCTAAGCTTGGTTCTTGATCTTGTGACTCATGCAATTGATGAAGTTTAGTTTTGGTTGGAAGCATTGGTGATTCCTGTGACTCTTGCCTTTAGTACTGTTGTTGATGCATAGTGATTAGGTCCTTTTTTGGTGTGCATTAAATGGGTAGTAGAGGCCGTAGTAGTCTAAGTAGGACAGATAAGTAGATAGCTAGTCGTGCCAATCTGCATTGAATTAAGATATGGGGCAACTGGTAGATTAAATTCCCATCCCACGCTACAGATGTCGCCATCACTCAGGTATGAATCACCGCCAAATATTTCCCAACGCTGTCTCCAACCACAATTTCGTATACTGTTGATGCAACCAGACCACGTGCGACGGCATCGGCTCGCTCTCTGCCTTCCCCTTGCCCTGGAAAAACAGACTCTTGAGCCGAAACTCCGCAACGCCCTCTTGGGGCTTCACCTCCGTCGACATCTCAAACAAACCATCCGATTCCCGCACGTCCTTCTTCCGCGGCGAATCTCCGCACCGCACGACAATCCGCTCCGGCGTCTTTTCTACCACTTCGAAGTGATCTGTGATCAGCGTACCCACGTCGTATGTCGCGGCGCGTAGGTCCGCGCGCGTCCAGAGGTGAGAAGAGGTCTCGGGGCCTTCGTATTTCTTGGAGAGGTAGCGGCGTTGATAGGCATATCCTGTTTGTTTACCCATTCGATCAGGTAATTAGATGGTCTGTCCAATGTCTTGATTTTATAGTAGACTGGGTGGGTGAGTGTAACGCACCGAATCCACTCCACACACCGGCGCAAAATGCCTCAGTCAGCCGGCCTGGCTTTTCCAGCAAGGCGGGCTTAATGTCCTTGAGTGGTACGCGGCGCACACAGAGGTCATGGGTGGTGGGGTTGTTGTTGGGATTGAGTTTCTGGTACAGCGGGTGCTGGAAGAGAGGGTCGCTTGTGGGCATCGGCACGAAGGTGTTGTGACGGACGGCTGCGAAGAAGAATGCCGTGGTGACGCCCGCACCGACGGCGGTGATCTTAGCAGCGCGCTTGAGGATACCCATAGTACAGTTGGGGGTGCAATTGAATGATTGTCGGGGAGAGGGGGCAAGTGGGATGAGAGAAGGGAAAGAGGAGAGCTGAGCTTGAGGCGGAGGATGAAGAGGTGAGATCATCGGGACTGGCGGAGATGCGGAGTCGGAGAATCGGAGTTGTTCCGGTGGCTGGTTAATAGTTACAGTTAAGCTACGGACCTCAGGGATTTTTTAATATTCACATTTCTTGACTTCAGTATACATATGTATGTATGTATGTATTTATATGTCACAGTGTATCTACTATATTAGATATGGGATGAATCTTGCTGTCCTCACATGCCATTCCTCCCAATCCCGCCCAAATTTGTCCCGCAACATCCCCTCCTCGTCTCGCACGCGCATCACCGTTGAATGGATCAACCCTGTTACTATCACCACCACTATACATCTTCCCCACCCAGATAGTCGTTCATGCATTGCTTCATCCATAGCACAGGCCATTGCACCGTCCCACCGCATTACCATTCCCAGGTATCCTGCTGCGAGGAGCCACAACCCCGTGTAACTCGGATGCTGTACCAATCGGTACAAACCCCCAGTTACTAGGGTATCTGGTTGCGCCAGCTGAAAGGTGAAGTTCCGACCTAGAAATTTGAATGCAGAGAGCCGAAGCAAGGCGCCCACGGTGATGGAAAGGAGGCAGAATGTAGTTGTGACAGTCCAGGTGAAGAGATGCGGCGCGAGACTGGTTAGGTGGGGACAGATTGCTTGGAGGTACACTCCATCGCTAGTTTCTGCCAGCTCCTTAGCATTGTGGTTGCTTCTGTCTATATAGAACAGCGCAAGAAGGGCGTGGTAGATAATGAAGGCTGTATTGAGATGTACTGTGACGGTGGTGATCGGGCCAGCAATCAGACGGACGCGGTCTGGCGGCCCATTAACTCTAGAGCTGGGCGGAGGGTTTGGGGGTGTAAGACCACGGTAGGCGAGGTATCCAGCTGTTAAGAGGGATGCGCACAGTGAAATGGATGTTGGGGAGGGCATTTTGGGCCTGGTGTTGCTGGACTGGTAAGGAGGTCAAATATGCGGTGGATGTTGTACTGTTTGGCTGGTTGGTCAAGGCGATCCACTTTCTGCCTGAGGCGTCTACAATGTCCTCATCTTTTTACTTTGAGAGTCGAGGAAGACCTCAAGGGAGGCCTCGGTTTAGACCAGAAGGTTCAGAGAATCTAATGAAGTGCCTGGATACGGTAAATGTACCATGAGACGTCTGAGTATGAATGGCTGGACGGCGATGGACTGTATCACGTGAGCATATCTCATGGTTGACAATTGAAGGGTATCACCTGACTGCGCCATCGGTCTGGATCACCTGCCGTAAATTTCCTCCGCGATAATCGATCTACAACCACTACAATTGCACTCGCAATTGCGTCCTTAAAGGCCTGCTTGAGTCTGCCGACTTTTTCCATATAATATTTACCATTACACATTACCCGAAAAGTTGAATGGGACAACCCTTCACCAACAAAATGACCACACCACTTTCGACGGATGATCTTCAGTCACGCAGAGAAGCCGACTACGAGCGGTTCAAAACCGCCGCCGCATACACCTTTCTCATTGCATCGCCTGTTCTCATTGCTCTACCACCTAGAAAGCTCGATAACCTGACGGTCCTTCTCACCAGCGCTTTCTGTGTTTCGGCAAACCACCTCACCCGCGAACACACCGGGCGTAGTATCGTGGATCGGATCGAGGCCCGCATCTCAAGGAACCCTATTGCAGCATTGTCGGATCTACCAAGCCAACGGGCACAGGAGATACAGGCCAAGTTAAAGGCAGCGAGGGATGCACAGATCCGGGATGGATCAGCAGTTGGCGAGGAACTGGAGAGGCTGAAGGCTAGGCAAGCACAGGAGAAGCCGGCTTTAGAGAAAATCTGGATGGGCGGCGAGACGGAGGGGTGGAAGGAAAGAAGAATAAGGGAGGAACAGAAGGCCTTGGAGGAGGGGAAAGGATATGGTGACCTGATCAAGGAGCATATATGGGATGTATGGAATTGGGGCCAGAAGGAAGAAGGGAAGGAACCGAAAGAGGGAAAGTAGTTGAGATTTGGAAAGTGAAAACCGTTTTGCAGGGCCTGTCAATGGCCTTTTCCTTTAGCGGGCTTGCATGATATAGGCGGCGTTGATGATATGGGCTGGGTTTACATGGTTTCTCGTTTTATGTAGTTATAGTTGTCCGTCCTACCTTATGTATAAAAGCTTTGTACATTAGTATATCATCGATCTGATTACCTCGTGTCATTCCTACCAGGTGAAAAGTTATGTCATATAATGCTGTCCAGCTGGTTGAGAAACAAAATGGCTGCAAATTCCTCAGACGGCAGGCTGACGACAGATCTGCTGACACTCAAACATGATTGCGCCCTGGGCACGCATATGCAGCTTAGGTTGATATAACGCACCGGTCATCAATGAAGTGCATAGATCCACCAAGAACGACTTCAGTCGAAACTGGGATCTTCTTCTCTGTAGCACGAATCGCAAATCCGACTCCGTCGCTGGTATAATAAGAATGAATACGGGACTCCTGACCGTACGGTTATTCAGCGCGACAGCTTCCGCTCATAGGCCTTTGCTGCCCGAAAATGTCATTAAGCTTAACCGAGATTGAGATATGAAGATGTCCTTGGTCCTGCAAGCGATCACCAACGCTTCACCATATACTAGTAAAACAACAAGAACTACATAGCGTGTTCGATTAGAGGTGAGTATGGAAATGGAATATAGTAAATGCGCCGTGATATCTATACTTGGAAAGCCAGGGAAGCGTAATTCATGGCATGGCGTCATCATTGTGATTGATTAACATATGATACATTCACTATAATTATATTGCGCTTCGTAGACCCCGAAAATCATTTCATGCCTAATATGATGGCTCAGCATTCCGTAACGGACCAACACCTTCCAACCTTAACCAACGCCTAAGAAGATGCATAAAAACTCTAATACAACCGAGAGTAGGTCCAGCAAGGAAAGGACCTAAGAAAGCAATTGAGAGAGGGATAGTGACCGAAAATAAGGAAAAGTAAACGGCATAGGGAAAAATTCTCATGTAAAATCCAGGCCATCATCTGGCTGATCCACGTACTGGTACTTCGCCAGAATTTGCTCGTGATGGACATCGTGAGCCTGAGAATGTACCAGCCCCAACACTTCTTGATGAAGCGCCGTGGACGGATCGGGATCGGTGGGATGATCAACCATCATATGGTAGTCATGAGCCGCATGATGGCGGACATCATTGTCAAAGCTTGATGCATGTAAACTATGTGCAGCGTGGGCATATGGATCAGTCATGGTATCGTGTGGATGAAATCGAGGAAGCTGCTGGTGTATGTCGATGATTTGTGGGTCCAGCGGCAAACCCGTGTAATCGGTAATGGAATCCACTGATCCTTGCACTACTGAATGAGCGGTCACAAATGGGTTCGTATTGTGAGCATCCATGGCGGCGTGGTCCATCAGCGCATGCGCACTCATAGGATCGCTGGACGCCATGTCAGCATCAGTTTCCGGCAAGTCAGCCTCGTCAATTCCCAGATCATCGTCATCATCTTCAGGGGTACCCTCATGCATAACCCCATTGATTATCGGAGGTTTAAGGATCTCTTTACACTGTGGACAGTCCCGGATCACCCGACTGACCGTTTCTTTAATCCGCACCCAATGGTATTTGACTGCAATGGCAGCTGTGGTCTTGTTGATGCCTGCATGCTGCTGCATATGCATCTCCCGGGCAATGTCGTACTGCTGCTGCGGGTCGGATACAACTTCCTTGTCTTTTAGCATCAATTTCTCACCGTCCCCATCTTTACCTCCAATTAACTTGTAGTGGGTAGCTGCACTCCGAAGCCGACTTTTCTCAGCCCGGTCAGCCCCCCTGGGGTATTTGGAATGCTTGAGATAGTACCGGATCTTGTCAAACCGATCTTGTGTGACAGAATCTTCCCCTTCCGGGCCTAGATCCCGGCCGTAGATGATAGCATCTACGTACTGACCAGGATTGGAAATGAGCCGACCGCCCCCCGGGACCCTGCCAATCCGCTTAAACCCCAGAGCATCCCACAGGCGGCAAGATGCCACGTTACTCTCATAGACCAGGTTAAAGACCGCATATGTGTACCCCTGGTGAATGTTAGCCGGATGTCTACAAGGTAAAGAACCTTCAACGTTGAGGTAGGGTAAGAAGTGGCTAAGGGGAGTACTAAGTGGTTATGATAGGAAACGAGGATAGTGGTATGAGTAAAGATTACTGGTATCTGGTATACTAACCATCTTAGGAGCCCATTCGAGATAGCCTTCCCCCATCAGTCGACCTACACCTTTGTTTCGGGCGGCGTCGGTGACCAGAAACATGCCATTGCAGACGTGACTACTACGACCGGGATAATTGGGTCGGATATTGAAGCTGCCCAAGCAGATCTTGGACCAATTGGCGCGGTTCCGACCTAGTGCTTGAACCTCTTGCACACTCTTGATGTCCCCCATAAGCATGATGGCGCCAAAATTGGAGAACCAATACGGCCCAAACTGCTCCAAGGGGATGGGATCAATCATGGCATAGGTATCACCACCTTCGATTTCCTTATTTAACTGATCGGATAGATAAGCTAATAAAGAGCGAGGGATCGCATCCGCTGAAGTGAAGGGGACCAAGGTGGCGACCGTGACTCGATCCCTGAGTATGACCTGTCGCGGCACGATGTCAAGGGGCAACTCCTTCTCCGTGGGGACGACCGTGGTCATCAAGTCCCCGTGAACGGCCGGCATGATGAGACCGTGAGCCAGATACACCAGTCACGAGACTGCATGTTAGTGTTAGTTGGGTTACCAGCACAGTCCATCATTGCGATAATGATTGTGAGAGTGGGCAGTAAAGTGAACAGATGGGATGGCTTCAACCCGGAGAACCATATATAGGGGGGAGGTGTGAGGTGTCGATCCCGCCTGGGGTGAGCGTTGAGAGCTGGGTAAACACGGGGGTAGGGTTGGTGGGAAAGCAGCGAGAATTACCGGAAAAGGCAGTAGGGGGGCAAAACTGGGCTGGAATAGAAGCACTGACCGATTTTAGGGTGTCTAGGGGGGAATATAATTAGTTCGTTAAGGGCACTTGGCTGGCGTGCAAGTGCTGGGTGAGAGCACTTCAAGGACCGCTGAGTATTCTCGAGTCCGGAATGGGTTGAACGCAGATGAGAAATTGTCGTCCCGCTTGCTCCCTGCTGACTCATCACACGGTCCCTCGCCGCCCGGGAAAACCAACAAATTCTGCCGGATTATGTGAGGGCGGTAAGCCCGAGGGGAGAAAAAAATTACTAGAACGATCGAGGGAATGAAGGCTTTAGGATGGAGTACTCCATACATATGTCATACTAGATAGGTATATAGTACCCTATATACGGACCTATACGGGATTACTCTATCGCCTGTGGGTCTTATTCCCGGAAGTGTACGTAAAAAATATCGTCACATGATCTAGAGAGAGATAGGTAACCTCAGTCTTCTTCCTGGCTCAACCGATCATCATTTAAAGGTATCTCAAGCTTCTTCGGAACAATGGCCTTCCGAATACCGATCAGCTTCCCATCACAACACGTTCATCGAACTGGAAGTCACTCGCACGCCTCTCACGGACTGATCCTGCTTCATGGCATCTGAATGGATCGCATTCGCCAGAAACTGGGGAGATATCCCGTTTCCAGCGTCCTGAGGGCTTTTAGAGGCCCGCGGTGGTCCCTTACGTCGATTCATTATCCGCACCTGCGCTTCCGCTCTACAGTCACATCCGCCGCCCTTCCCTCAGCAATTACAGCCCCAGAAACCCCCCCGCTGATCGTTCTCCGCGACTACCAAGAAGAATGCATTCAGTCTGTGCTGGATCATCTGGCTCAGGGTCACAAACGTCTAGGTATTTCGCTTGCCACAGGAGCGGGGAAGACGGTCATCTTCACCCAATTAATCGGACGAATACCGCCGCGGAATGGTGTCCATGACAAGACCCTTATTCTGGTTCACCGAAGGGAGCTAGTAGAGCAAGCTGCCCGACACTGTCGCCTTGCCTATCCCGATCGAGCTGTGGAGATTGAGATGGGGAATAGTGTCGCGTCTGGGTCTGGGGATATCATCATTGCTTCCATACGGAGTCTCACCTCCAAGGATAGGATCTCCAAATTTGATCCCAGACGTTTCAAGCTTGTCTTGGTGGATGAGGCACACCACATTGTTGCACCGACGTACCGCGTTGCTCTCGAACATTTTGGCCTCAGTAACCCGTCGCCGGACTCGCCAGCTCTCGTCGGGGTCTCTGCCACGTTCTCACGCTTTGATGGACTCAAATTGGGTGCCGCAATCGACCATATAGTGTACCATAAGGACTACATGGATATGATTGACGAAAAATGGCTGTCCAATGCCATTTTTACCACTGTTCGGTCAGAAGCAAATCTCTCACGCGTTAAGAAGGACAAATTCGGTGATTTCGCTATCAGCTCGCTCTCGGAAGCCGTCAATACCACGAAAACTAATGATATCACTGTACGCGCATGGCTGGCTAACGCACACGATCGAAAGTCTACACTGGTATTTTGTGTCGACGTTGAACATACTAGACAGCTTACTGAGGCGTTCCGCGCACTGGGCATTGACGCTCGGTATATCACGGCGGGAACTCCGAGGGATGTGCGCGATGAGCAGCTGCGTGCTTTCCGGAACCAGGAGTATCCCGTGCTTCTCAATTGCGGCTTATTTACAGAAGGTACAGATATTCCCAATATTGACTGCGTCCTCCTGGCACGTCCGACACGGTCTCGAAATCTTCTTATACAGATGATCGGACGAGGCTTACGGCTGCACCCGGGGAAGACCGACTGCCATATAATTGACATGGTGGCTACCCTGGACACTGGTGTCATTTCTACCCCTACGCTCTTCGGACTACACCCAGACGAGCTTCTAGAAAGCGCGAGGGCAAAAAATCTAAGAGAAAAGAAGGAGGATGCCGCAATGGATGCCGAAGGCCGCACCGATTATCCGCCAGAGACAAGCACGTCTGCCGAAGAACCCGACACAACCGATGATATCAAACTTACCTTCACCAAGTACGATACCATCTACGACCTCATTCATGATATGAAGTCTGAGAAACACATCCGCTCCCTCAGTCGCTACGCCTGGGTCCGCGTAGATGAGGACAAATATACACTGTCTGACTCAACAGGATGGATCACCCTTGAGAAGACTAGAAACATATCTAACAAGGGAAAAGAAAGTGACCCGCCCGCTACATATACCGTCCACCATGTGATGAAGTTCAAGTCTGCTACTGAATCGACCCAGTACACTCGGCCACGTTTGATCGCTACGGCCATGGACTTTGAATCCACAGTCCGTGCTGCTGATACCTTCGCGGCCTCTGAATTCGACGAACGGTACATCTCCACCCGGCAGCCCTGGCGTCAGCATCCGGCCACTGCAGCGCAGGTGACGATGCTGAATAAAGCTAAGATTCGGAATGGACGGATTGCGCCTGGGGATTTGACACGAGGCCAGGCCGCAGACCTGATCACGAAGCTGAAGTTTGGTGGGAAGAAGCGGTTCGCGAGCAGGCAGAAAAAACGACGGGCTGCCGATGAGAAAGCACAGGAGTTGGCCGAACTCCGGAGACGCGAAGAGGTGAGAGTGGGACCTGTAGAGGGATGAGTGCTGCAGCCCCAGTCCCAGTGAAGTACAGAATACAAGACAACCTGACATCTGCCTCTTCGACCTCCAAAGCGCCCATACCGCACACTCTTCTTCGTCGCCACAACCCGCTAAAGAGACTAGGCGAACCGTGGGTACTTGCGGGCTTCTAAGCCTAAGTACACGATAGCAAATAAATGCGGCAGTGAGCAACACACCGACATGGCCCCGACGACTACCTCCAATCAGGATTTCTGCATCATCCAATCAGCCATATTGACACACTGGGGACCGCGGTTGGCGCAGAACATCAAAGTCCCTTTGTGACGTAGGATAAGTCAGTTGCAATGCCACTAGTGTGGGGAACACCTGGCTAGAGTAGCGGCATCGTCTTTAATTAGCAAATGTTTCCTGGGATGGAGCATATGCACCAGGCCGCGTTGCGGACTTCCAGCTTCTTTCTCCATCCCACCGGAAATCCCACCACAAAATCTTCTGCAACCCCATTACCCCTACGCCTGTATCACATCGTAAATTATTCAACAGTAGCCCTCTGTATCCAAAATCCTTGTGCTTCTTTGGTAACATGTTTTGCGGTTGTTTAACCCTCACGATCGATGAACCTTTCTTTGACTCGCTCGGAACCCATTATATTAACTGTTTTTGTTGTACCTCATGGAGTCATTGACTGATTCTGCTGTTGCAGCCTCCTCACTTGGACCCGGTCATTCTTCCTTCCAACCCTCGCAACAGCGGTCTTCGTAGCCCCGATTAATGAGATCAGCTCAATTTTCGAAGCCCTGGGACATGCAGTCTATGAATTTCCCCCGGATTACGCCTAAATAATCACTAGTTTACGGAGCACTGTTGCACATTCTATACCCATACCACACATGCCTCCGTTTCAAGACCACTCTTAGTCGCGGAATTCCAGCAGAAGCCAGAGGAGAATGGCGCGGCCAAACATCATTGATAAATAAGTGAAAGGTATCATAATGCAGAAATGGTTATGACTGCTCAGCCAGTTATCGCGACTAACCAGAGTTCTTGTGATTCTTCTCCCTTTGTGGATCAAGATAGCAACGAAGTTAACATACTATATATATATAGTATCATGATATACATGTGATATTTCTACTTTTTCCAGTCCCTGTACAGCTGCTTTATATCATTCATATAAGACAATTTTGGATCTCCATATTAAGATTTAGATAACTTACTCATGCTGCTTCCGGTGACTGGCCTATCATGTAGGTAGAAAAGAAGCGCAGCGAATAAGCAATGTACCATGTTAAATGTGTCTAGTCTGATTAAGGAGGCATGGCTGGTGAAAAGAAATATAAGCCTACGTTTACAGGCACGCCTTGATTTTCCTCAGATTGCGGTGTTCGTACCGGTGAACTGACTTGAAAATGCATTTGTCCGATGGCCGCTTCCGAATGCCCACCGTGGGCGCGATAAAATCTACTGGTCCGAGAGCGGGAAACATGTGACTAGGAGAAAGTTATCTGATCCGAGATAAGTTGCTTGGCAGGATCAGATTTTAGCGAGGACCAAGCTGGTCCTTGGGTAAGAGGTAGGAAATTGCTCGGATGAATAGAATGAGTCATGGAATTGACTCCAGGTTACTTCTTTTCTTTTTTCTTTTATTGCTTCTTTAGGCAGGGGCTTTGGGATGATGAGGATGCTGGTGGGGTCAATCAGATAACAGTGTGAGACACGCTCGTTTTAGACGGAGATGTGGGTGGGTATACGGTAAGCGGGTGACAGTTGTGTTTTGAACCATTACCGTCGATTACACCATAATTCAATACAGGTATTAGACGGCACATGGTGTACCCTAATGCACTTACCGTATTCTTGGCCAAGCTGCCGCCGGACAGGAGAATTTTATGGGAGGAAAGAAAGATGCATGATTGATATACTAGATGTAATGATGGTCTGTTTTTCCCAGCTTTCACTAGGTGGGAGGGTATTTCACACAGCGGCAATCCTTATGTGCACGCCAAATGATCTATCAATCCATATTTGGGTGGGATGATATCAAGCAGGGGACATAGGATTGTAAAATGTTAATCAATTCAACCAGTGTTGTTGCGTTGCAGTACACTGTCCGCCAGCTCCGGCTACACTCCAGCTACCCTGCATACTAAGCTCGAACCTTGTTGCATGCAAGACCACCCCGAAGAAAAAGCCACGTGCAAGGCGAGTAGATTCCGGTTGTGGTGTAGGCCCAATGCTCTTCAGAGCCCAAACTCAAGTTCCAGGTTTCAGCAGATTTCCTCAATTTACAGACAATCAGATTAGATTAGATACTCAAGTGGTAACTCTGGATCGGGCTAGACAGCGCGATTATCATACGACTCGGACTATGGACTATGGTGGCAAGAACTCAAAAACAGCCCAACCTTGTTCCTAACAATATATTGGCAGGAGAAAGAAAAAGTTTAGCAGAACTCGCTTGCAGCTCCCTGCACCAGCAAGCTGGACCCTCCCCCCAAAAAATCCTATTGGTCGGCGATATGCATCTCCCATGGCTCAGAGAATCGATTCTTATGAGAGATTAATTACGACTATCCTCTCCGTAGCTTCTCATGATTTATAAAGAAACTAACCTGTTCTGGATACCTTGGCCGGACAATTTCTTGGTAGTGGGCTGTCCTGCAGCTATCAGATCTGATTAGTCTTATCAATCAATATCCCCACTTGTCATTTACTAGTGTTGTTACTAGCCGCATACTCTCTTACTAGTGCAAACATGGCCTTTACACACAACAATCGACCTATTTATCCATGCGCCCACATTCAGCTGATTGATAGTCTCTCGGGTCGGTCTTTTCCGACACACCTGCAGAGTATCTGGGCTACTGAGCTAGCTGCCTGACTAGCACTAGCCATGGCGAGGCACTGAAACAGCCCAAGACTCTGGTCTAAGAAATACCTGGTTCCGGTGATACAAGCGCTTCCAACTAATAATTATGCCAAGGCTATATATGACAATTTAATGGATATGGCAAGAAAAAGACCGAGAACAAGGCAGTGAAGGGTAGGGAAGACGTTGATATTCTACTCGTTGGCGCTTCAAATTCTAGACATCCGGCTAATACGCCGTTGTCCGCGAGGCGGTTGTAAATAGCCTATGGTCAGGAGAGCTTTCATTCATGGCAGATGACTACATCTGTGAGTTTTTCATAATAGTGAAATATGGGAGCCGTGAAACTGCAACCCTGCTACCCATGCAGAGGCTTTACGTACTTATTAATTTCTTTTGAGACAGACCATAACACGGTCAGAAGTCTTTAGTCAATATCAGAGAACAAACTTCCAATGCCAGACTGCATTTTTTGCAAACGAATCGTAACTGAATGGTATATACAAACATGCAAGCGATCTATATATTAAAGTCTATTAATTGATGAAAAGAATAACCATAGGTTTACTCCACGGTTTGATGCAACACATTCTCCCTATAACTCGCCGATCGCTCCATAAGCTCCTCATGTGTTCCGCGATCAACACAAACGCCTGCTTCAATCAAACAGATGACATCCGCCTTGCGAATGGTCCTCAGTCGATGCGCGATTGCCACGACTGTGATACCCTTTGCTGCTCTCTCCAGGCCCTCCTCCAACAACCGCTCACTCTCTGCATCCAACGCACTCGTAGACTCATCCAGAATTAACAACCGAGGCTTGCGCACCAAGGCCCGCGCAATCGACAACCGCTGCTTCTGTCCACCCGAGAATTGGTTCCCATTCGGTCCACACATTGTTTCATATCCATCTGGCAGTGCCATGATAGTATCGTGGATGTTAGCTAGCTTGCAGGCAGCTTCAATCTCCTCCTGCGTCGCATTGTGGTTCGGGGGTGCACCGAGCCCGATGTTGAAGGCGATAGTGCCTTCAAAGAGAACACTTTCTTGAGGAACGAGGGAGATGGTGTCGCGGAAGCTAGGGGGTCGGTTCTTCAGGTCTGTGTGGTCGATGGCGATGCTGCCGGATTGCGGGGTGTAGAGGCGTTCGATGAGGGAGATGATGGTAGACTTTCCGGCTCCGGAGGGGCCAACTAGGGCGAAGAATTTACCAGGCTGGATGTCGAGAGTGAGGCCTTTGAGGACTTGGATGTCTGGTCGGGCGGGGTAGGCGAAGTGCACGTCACGGAGCTGGATGCTGGCGGGGGTGGTGGGCTTGGGTTCAATAGTGGTGGAAGCTTCAGGATCGGAGGAAGAATTGCTATGGTCTGGCACCCGGCCTTGCATCTTGTCGGAACCGATCTCAATCAGTCCTAGGATGCGAGCCATAGCGGCACGCGCGCTGGACAGTTCTGGAGCCAGTGCAAACATCTGACTCCAGAGTAGGGCGCTGACCAGCAGGGAGAACACCACGATCAGGAACTGTGTCTGCGTGTATGTGCCTTCGATAATCTGCTTCGCACCCCACCAGTAGGCGAGCGCATTGACGAGGTTGCCCAGGAAGTAAGTCATAGCCTGCCAGAGACTGGCTTGCAGAGTTACTACGAGGGTCTCCATGCGGGGCCCCTTCAGGGAGGCGCGGTAGGTTTGCAGGATATCCTGCTGGATAGACAGGGAGGAGACGGTCTTGATGGAGGTGATTGCCTCCACACCAATGTCCACCGACTTGGTGTAGGCATTCTCGTGCTTCTCCTCAAATTTGCCGAGCACAAGCAGCTCCATGAGACCAGCACCAAGGAGCAGCGGCACCAGGGCCAGACAGACAAGCGCAATCTTCCAGGCAATGATGTGCGTGAGAATAATGGCAGCGATGAGGTTGACGGTGATGGAGAAGAGTGTGCCGATGACCGAGCCGCTCAGTCCAGCCAGGGCGTTGCCATCGCGTGTAATGTACGACAGTAGAAGGGCAGGGCTGCGTCCATTTGACTGGTGCCAATGCAGGTCTTGCTCGAACAGCGAGCGGAATGAAAGGACACGAACAGTGTAAACGATCTTCTCGGACACCCAACCGAAGCCGGACCAGCTGACCACGTTGGCGAAGAACTCAATGATAGCGAGGATAAAGAACATCAGTCCGTAGAAGTCACCGCGGTTGCTGATACTGGAGGCACTCTTGCAGGGATTCAGGCTGCCGACGGTGTTACCAAAAATAACAGCCTCACCAGAAAAGGCTCCACCGACGATACTGGATCCAATCAAGGCGAGGAAAACATATAGGAGGTGTGGCCGCAATGCAGGGGCATATCCCTTAGCCAGTGCCCACAGTGACTTTTTGGGAGTCTCCGGCTCTTCCTCTTCGGCAGCCTCATCGCCGGCTGGGGTTTCGGTTTCCGAGACCTTGGTCTCCTCCGTCTTCTCGAGGGTGTCCAGGGTGAGACTGGCCTTTTCATTCTCAGGTTCCGTCAGCGAGGTGTCATCAGATTTGCTGATACTGTCCACGCTTGCGGAGGCATCAGTCTTGGCGGACGCGGTTCCCAGCGTCTGTAATTTGACTAGGTCGAAATATGCGCCCTCCTTGGCCATTAGCTCAGCGTGGGTCCCTTGCTCCAAGATTCTGCCCTTAGACATGACGATGATGTTGTCCGCGCTGGTGATGGTTGACAGTCGGTGAGCAATCGTGATCATGGTTCTGCCACTGGCAATGCCGGCGATGGCCCGCTGGATGCGCTGTTCACTCCGGGAGTCCAACGACGCCGTGGCTTCGTCTAGAATGAGGACAGCAGGGTCTTTGACCAGGGCTCGAGCTAGTGATACACGTTGCTTCTGACCACCGCTGATGAGACGTCCGCTAGATCCAACCATGGTACCGTATCCATGTTGCAATGCTGAAATGAAGGTATCCGCATCAGCCAATTTCGCAGCGTGACAGGCCATCTTGACAACCTCGACAATTTCCGCGCCGCGTTTCTCGGCGGCAGCCATAAGATCCTGGCCCTCCCGGACCTCGCGGGCAACTTCAGTCAGGTCGGAGCTCATCAGGGCCATCTTCAGGCGTTCATGATCCGGGTTACTTGAATTCATCAGGCCGTGGGCAATGTTCTCCAGCAGGGAACGATCGAGCAGGGAGGGTTCTTGCTGCACCAGACTGAGGTAGCTGCGCAGGTCGCGGACATTGACTTCACGCAGGTCGTGACCATCAAAGAGAATTTTTCCGTCTACCGGATCATACAACCGAGTAACAAGGCCAGCGATGGTAGATTTGCCGCTTCCTGACAACCCGACGAGAGCCGTGTGTTTGTTTGCGGGAATAGAGAGACTGATGTTGTCGAGAACGGTGACCTCGGGGCGTGACGGATACTGAAAGGTGACGTTCTGGAACTCAAAGCCGCCCTCCGCTTGTGAGACACGGATGCCTGACTCGCCGGTGCTATCGATTTGGGGTTCGCGATCGAGGTCTTCGCGCAGTTTCTCGTACGAAGCGGTAGCAGCGACGAACAAGTGGAGAAAAGGCGCGACCTGACTAAGTAGCAGAGTAGCTATACATATGATTAGCATTGGCTGCTAAGGAAACAGCACAGGATACATCAACTTACCCTCAATTAAGACAAAGATGACAGTGAAAGTAGCACCGACAGTGACACCTGCCGTGCCATCTCTGACTGAATCGGCGATACGGTGACTTCCTTTCCAGAAAGCCAGACCGTTGGCCGAATAGGCGATGAAGTACAAAACTCCAGACTGGATACCCACAGCGGTAGCCTTTTTCAGACCCTGGGTTTCAGATGACTTGAGCGCACCAGCGAACTTTTTCTCCAGGCGGGCATTGGCGCCGAAGGCCTGCACTACGACGATGTTCGACAGGGCCTCAGAAGCAATGGATGCTGCACTGGCGGCATAGTCCGACATGAGCCCAGAGTACTTTTCGATATAATGACTGCCCACGAAGGACATCAGAAGGTAGGCCGGAATCAAAGAAAGCAGAATGGCAGCCAGCTCCCAATCCTTGATGAAAGACACAATGTACGCTGTGACGAAGAACGAGAAACTTGCCAGGGTGATGCCGACTTTCTCTGAGGTGCCCGAACGAATGGTCTGAATATCGCTGCTCAGTCGCGAGGCTACCTCACCAGGAGGCAGGTTATCGAAGAAGGAAGGTTCCTGGCGGAGGAGGTTCTTCAGGTAGCGTTCACGCAGGCGCTGGGCTAGACGAGCACCGTACAGGGTCCAGCACGTGAGGTGGCCATAGATGAGGACGAACTGGGCGATTGCCAGGTAGACGATCAGGAGGATCTCGTGGTTGATGCTGTTGGAGTCGGAGGAGGTGTCGCCTCCGCCGTTTTCTTCGGTGCAGGTCACGTCGTTGAAGTTGTCGAGGAGCTGACCGAAGACGATGGCGATGATGGGAAAGGGGACACCCGAACCGATAGCAAACACGATGGCAGAGAGCAAGGTACCCAAATCGTACTTGGAGGGGTTACCGGCCAGCAGCAGGCGGGGATAGCCCGCCAGCTTGGTGAAGAATGCCATGGCGACGAGGTTCGATGGTCGGGGAAGCCTGGACAGCAGCAGAAATTCTGGCCGGCGCCGCGGTTGATTTATTGCTTCGACGACGCGGCGTTGTCAGTGCGTCATGGACGAACAAGGCCGCTTTTCGGCTGCCAGAATACTGGAGGGGGTTCCACAGTGGACCAGCTTCAGTTCGAGAAAAACTCAACCAGGGGTCCTGCAGACGTCCGAATGGAGGAGGGGATCATCTGCGCCATCGGGGTGGGCTAGATAGATACTACGTACTGAAAATCTAGTCTAGGGGAGAAGAAGGCCCCGATTAGATGCCGGTCTCGTTACGTTACTCAACTGGGATTGCAGACATCTTGTGGCCAAGGCTACCATTCTATGGGCAGATTAACAGTGGAAATAGGAGTGGGGAGAGAGAGAGAAAGAGAGAGAGAGAGGGGAGGGAGGGGGCGATGGGCACAATGAGCCAGCT